AGGACGGGGGCAGCCCCACAGCTTCTCTGGGCAACCTGTTCCAGTGCCTCATCATCCTTATTGTAAAAAATTTCTTCTTTAGATCTAATCTAAATCTCCTTTCTTTCAGTTTTAAGCCATTACCCCATGTCCTATCACTATATACTCTTGTCCAAAGCCCCTCTCCAGCTTTCTTATAGGTCCCCCGTAGGTACTGGGAGGCTGCTAGAAGGTCTCCCTGGAGCCTTCTCGTCTCCAGACTGAACCACCCCAACTCTCTCAGCCTGTCTGCATAGGACAAAGAACAGTGTGGCTTGCCGCACCATTGCGGAGCGCTGAGCAGTGCGGTCCCTCTGCCAAGCACAGCTGGAAGCAGCCAGGATGTGGCTCTAATAAGCGACACCTTGTCCTGCCAGCCCAGCCCAGGGACACGGCGGGCACAGAACAACCTGGGCTTTATTTTCAGCTGAGAGAGATGCTCATTTTGCAGCTCTCCGACCTCACAGCCAGCTCAGCTGCGGGAGGGGACGGTGCTCACCTGGACATCCCGGAGCAGCAGGTCCCCAGAGGGCAGGACAGTGGCCTTCCCCCCACCACCCTGCACCGCAGCTCCCTCCCGGCTCCAGGACACACGGGGCTCGGGGATGCCACGGGCAGCGCAGGGCAGCAACGTCTCCCTCCCCTTCAGGACAACCAGCTCTGCCGGGCCGGCTGCGATAACGGGGGGCACTGGACGGGGAAGGAGGAGGACAGGGACTTGCTCACACCTCGACAGCCACCTTTCACAGTGAGGTGCCCGGGCAGGAGCCAAGCAGAGGAGGGGGCGAGCGCTGGGACCCCTGTCCTGCCTTACCTTGCACAATCAGCCTGGTCCTCCCTGCAGCAGTGCCTGAGGGGTTGTGGGCCACGCACAGATAGGTGCCCGCGTCCCCGGGGGAGGCCCGGAGGAGACGCAGCTGCCCGTTGGGGAGCACCTTCAGCCTGGGCTCTGCAGGGATGGGATGGAAAGGAGGGCAGGACAGAGTAGCGTGGCCATGCTGGAGCATGGACGGATGGTGTGCCAGGGCTGCTTCGCCTACAGAAGCACCCCTTCCCAGGGAGTCCCCAGGAACGGCTCCAGCAGACGCCTGCCTTGGACAGCAGCCAGGAGCCAGGAGGACCCATGCATAGTGCCACCCAGCACCTCATTAGGATGCCTACCACCTCTGGGCACCCAAACCTCCACCCGGACAAAGGCTAGCAGGCAGCACAGGCTCTGCCAGCCTCCATCCGGCTCCCACTCACCTCCAGCGATGCCAACACCATCCTTCTGCCAGGTGACCTCCGGCCGGGGGACCCCGGTCGCCTCACAGGACAGCACCACGCTGGTGTTGACCATCACCATCACCATGCCAGGCAAGGGCTTCAAGGCAGGGGGCTCTGCAAGTGGCAGGGAAGCATTGCCCACCAGGGATCCCCCGAGGTGGGCCAAGGCATGGGGAGCGGGACCCCTGGGAGCCACGTGTACCATGCACCACAAGCCAGAGATGTTTTCGGGCTGTGCCAGCAGCGCTCCGTGCCGTGCAGGTGTAGCGGCCGGCGTGTGCAGGCAGCGCCTGCCTGATCTCCAGGGCCCCTGTGGAGACAGTGGGCAGAGGGGAGGCAGTGAGGGGGCTGGCAGGGATCCCCCACCCTGCCAGGGCTGTGCTGCCCTGTGCCCGTACCTGTGGGCAGGACGCGGTAGCCCCCTCCTCGGCTGCCCAGCTGAGCCCCATCCTTGCTCCATGACACTGTGGGTGGGGGCACACCAGAGGCGTAGCAGGTGAGGACCACAGCGGACAGCCGGGTGACAGCCACATCCGTAAGGTCGTCAGCAATAGTGGGGGGCACTGGAGAGGTGAGGGAGGGAGGTGGGCAGGGCTGCATGGGAATGCCAAAGAGCAGCCCACCCCCATGCACATGGGCACAGATGTTTCTATTTTCCCTTTTGCCTACCCCCACGCCAAGTTCTCTAGAGAGGACCCAACCCCAACCTCAGCCCCAACATAGGGGCTGCAGCATGCCCACGTCACACCTGAGGTGCTCACAGACCCCAGGAAAGCTGCTCTTAGCAAGACTCAGAGCCCCTGGGATCTCACCGTGGACAGACACGAGGAAGACCTTGCGTGCCTCTCCGGCGGCGTTGGTGGCGATGCACTCGAACCGCCCCTCGTCCTGGGGGCCGGGGCTGGGGGTGAGCAGCGACCCCCAGACGTTGCAGCCCAGTGCAGCCGGCCGCTGAGCCAGCAGCGTGAGGTTGGAGGGGCCGGGGGCAATGGCGGGAGGGACTGCGGAAGGGCACAGCAACGAACAGCAGCGCATCGTCACACCGATGAGAGCAGCTCAGCTGCGGTGGGTTGCAGGCAGATGAGCCCAGGAAGGATCCATCTGGCTCTTTCACTCACCCAGGATGTGGAGGTCCAGGCCTCGCCGGTCGGAGCCAGCGGGGCTGGATGCCATGCAGACATAATAGCCCGAATCCTGGACCTGAACAGGGTGGATTTGCAGGGACCCGCCTGGCAGGAGCTGCAGCCTGGGGAGAGAGAGCAAGGGAGCCCCGTGGGTGCTCTGCCACGCGTGGGGACACACGGCTGAGAAGGCGGCCAGTACCATTGCAGCCAGGTACGGCACATGTACGCTGAGCTGGCGTGGGGACAGACACAGCCCTTCACAGGGGGACAGCACTGTCTCTGCTCCAAGCACGCCAGAACAGCTACCAATGTGGAGGGTGGCATAATCTGAATAAGAGCCCTTGGTGCCACCAACCCATACAGCCTCATACCTGTTGCTCTCATGGAGAGGCAGGAGCTGGTCATCCTTCCGCCATGTCACCCGGGGCATGGGCCATCCCTCTGCCTGGCACGGCAGCACCACCGAGTCGTTGAGCGGTGCCCTCACCTCCTCGGGGCCCGGCCGGATCTCCGGGGCCACTGCAGCAGCACCCCGGCGGCACAACAGAGGGTCAGAGACAGGGCTCAGGGGATGGAGAATGTCAGCCTGGACCAGCACTGGAGGCTGGGCACGATCCAACACCCTCTTCCCATTAACCCAACCTTATGACACCCCTTAAACTGGGAACACCCCATAATGTTGGGAACACCCCATAATGTTGCACATCCCTAAACTAACAAGGACAGAGCTGGCACTCACCACCAGCAAAGTCCCCTGGCAGGGCATCATTGCTCACCGTGAACCTCCACCTGGGCGCGCAGGCTGGTGTCCCCCAGCGCGGTAGTGGCCCTGCAGCTGTACTCCCCGCCGTCCGCCACCCCCACGGCCCGGATCTGCAGGAAGCGCCCCTCGGCCAGGAGCTGCCTGTGGCTGGTCTCCCCAAGTCCCCTCAGCAGCTCTCCCTGCATCACCCTCCACCACGAGCCTGGTGAAGATGCAGCCAGCCCCTGCCCACACACTGTCCTGGGTCCCATCACACCCACCTGCAGCAGAGAGCCCTCCCGGTGCCACTCGATGCGGGACGATGGCACAGCATCCCTGGGGCACTCCAGGTGAGCTGCCCCCCTGCCACGGTGGTGACGCTGGGGGTCTCTCCAGTGCTCGCCATGCTGAGAGGTGCTGTGGGACACATGCCAGGCAAGCTAAGGGGTGCCCAGTGGGTTGGGCACGCCCATGCCTGGTCCCCCAGGGTCCTGATGACCCCCCAGCACCCTCCTCGCCACACCGCTGGGGCCGCACTACCTTGGACGCTGACGTGGAAGCTCCTGCTGTCCTCCCCAGCGGGGCTAGGGGCCAAGGAAAAAGCCAGCATCAGCCACCTACACAAAGCCAGGAGAGGGAAAAATTGAGGCACGACAAGAAAACGCAGATGGGGAGAAGAAAGAGGAGCCCCTACCTTTGTGCTCTCGATGTGGAGGGTACTCTCATTCCCCGACACAAGCCAGGGCCCTGCCAGTGGCCACCCGTCCTTCTCCCAGGTTACAGCAGGCACAGGGATACCCGTCACCACACACGTCAGCTCCAGCGGGGTGCCCACGGCAATGGACATCTCGGTGGGATGGGGGGCAGTGCAAGGCATACAGCGAGGTGGGTGGGCTCATCGCCTTGTTGTTCCCAAAAAATTGTCTGGCTGCCCCTCCCAAATCCTCGGGGGCAGACACGCACCCATCACCAGGAGGTGGAAGGCTTTGCTGGT